ATTGATAGAGGAATGTATTTACATTTGCTTAGTTCTTTTTCATTAAGGTTAATACAGCAAACAATTCCCTCTTGCTTCAGCGTCTGTTTTTTAAAGATTTCTGGCCAGAGCCTTTGTTTTCTTTCAGGGATCCAAATAAGCATAAAACAAAGAGTACCTTCCTAATTTTCCTGTTGCTCCCTCTCTAGGGTGGTGCTAGAGGGGTCACTTAAAAGACAACTACTGGGCTTCCCTGGTGGGTAGGATTGAGGAATCTCAGCTGGTAAATGACAATGTCTTCTCATCAGACAACTCCCACCTGGGAAAAGAAGCCAAAGATCAATGTTTTCTTTGAATACTCAAGGAAAGTTAAGGAAAACCCAAGAACTCTTTCTCGAGGAAGTTAATAAGTCCATACATCATTCTGGGTCCTTAGTCCATACTAGTCTGTGATGTCACCAGCCCATAACACCACTCTTAATCAAAATCTCCCTACTGGGCTTCCCTGGTGGCGCAGTGGTTGAGAGTCCGTCTGCCAATGCAGGGGACACAGGTTCGTGCCCAGGTCTGGGAAGATCCCACATGCCGCGGAGCGGCTGGGCCCGTGAGCCATGGCCGCTGAGCCTGCGCATCCGGAGCCTGTGCCCCGCAACGGGAGAGGCCACAACAGTGAGAAGCCCGTGTACCGCAAAAAAAAAAAAAAAAAAAAAAAAAGACAACTACTCACTCCTTATCGTGCTCAGCCACTTCCCAACTTCTGATCTATTCCCTTGTTTAAGGAGAAAAAGGAAAGATATCAAATGCCCCAGTCATTTTTACATTTTCCCAGAAATGGAGGATAATCAAGGAAACAGAAATTACACATATATCAAACAGTCTGCTTCTTAGAAGTAGCAAGGGCAAATAAAAGCTAACATTCAATGCCCTTGGATCTCCAGTTCCCATTTACAGCTGTGAAACATGAGGCTCAGATCTGGAGAGTGTATCATTATTATTAAATGGTAGACAGTAGAAAGTCAGAACTCAAATCTTGGTCTTCAGTTTCTGGATCCTCTGCTTGTTCCAACATGGATGCCACTGCCCCTCTGGCATCAAAGAACTCAAAAAAAGAAGACATATTGCTAGCAATAAAGAGACTATCACCAAGTTCCAGATTCTTCTTCTGATGACTGCTTATATCCATTGTCCTTGGGTGTGATCTGATCACTGCTACAGAATAAGCCAGGTAAAATGATGCTACCTGCTGTCCTCTGCCCATCTGGGCCCTCCCAGGGGCTTGCCCTCTGCGCTGCCTCATCGGATACCTTCCCTGTTCCAGGGTGACCGCAAAGGCTGGCCTTCCCTTGGCACATTTATCCTCAGCCCCCAGTGAACACGCAGGGCACACAGTGGACTAACTCATTTATTTCTACTCATTTATTGATGGCCTTTCATAACCCAGTTATTAAGTCATCAATAACTTCAGAGAAATAAATGAATGGATCCAGAATTGGGCCAACAGATATTTAAGACATACACTGAACATTTTATCTCAGATCAGCAGAAAAGTCAATGCTGGGTCATCCATGGTATTTCCCTTACCTGGAAAAACATTTTCTATGTTTCATTCTAATTGGAACCCAGTTTATTTCTCTACAAAGCAGTAAAATGAATAACATCTCCAGTATCCCAAGTAAATTAAAGTTTGAAAAATAGATTACAAGTGTTAACATTTTTTCCAAAATGCTACCTAGTATGTGTTGCTCTCACCAGCTGGCAAAAAATAACCTTGGAAGATTCCCCAGAAATAGGGTATAAGCTCTTTCAGGAATGCCTGTATGTTCTGATATATTCCCCTCAGGAAATGAAATAAAAAGGAGAGGAAAAAGGGAGTAAAAGGCAGGGAGGTTTTCCAAGACCTTGAGAAATCCCTGAAACCAGCATTTAGGAGCCTAGAGAAATTTCTAACACTGAAGTTAAGTTTCTTCAGGGACACTTTCCAACCCATCAGCGTTCACCCAGCTGAGGGGAGCCATGCATTTTCATTACGTTTGGGGGGATGTATAGCTGCTGCATCTCAACCTTCAGTATCCTGACCTCATCTCCTATTCAGATACCCATTTGCCCTAGTTTGCTCTTCACTTACACCCACCTAGATGACAGGAATCAAGGCTGCTGCTGAGAGGCCACAACGGTGCTTGGAAACCTCTCTGTTCGCCAGTTGCCTCAGTTTCCTCATCTGTAAAATAGGAATAATAATATATGAAAAGCACTTAGAACAGTGTCTGGCACATGGCATCTATTCAAGAAGTGCCAGCCGTTATTGTTGTTGTCATTAATGAAAAAACAGTATCTTCCATACGATTAGGACCTCAGAGACCAGCCAATCCAATTTCCTCAATTCATTTTACAGACGAGGAAACTGCAGCCCAAATAGCCTATCATACGGTGTGTGTGCTTTCCAAAGTTCAAAGGCTGAGTGAGATACCAGCAGAAAGAACAGCACCTTTGGAGTCCTTTAGTCCTACGTTCAAATTCCAGCTCTATGGCTTGCTAGCTATGTGACTTTGGACTCAGCTCTTCCCTTCTCTGGGCCTCTCTAGGTCCTCACCTGTAAAATAGGTATAATGCAACCTACCTTGAGGGTTTGTTGTGAAAATTGAAAAACAATGACTGAAAAAGTTAGTGACTGGATAATGTGACCAGCACCTTGCCTAGGAATGAATGAGCATTCCATAGCTGGAGAATATTATTACAAATGTCATTCAGCCGGGCTGCTGTGGAGTGGGTGCTAGAATCCTGGGCCCCTGACTGCCAGCCAAGCTCAACACTACACAGCCCACCTTAACTTAGAAACAAACAACCAAACAAAAAAACAGGAATTTGCTTACACTCCTTTCTATTAATTTTCTTCAATGACTATCTTGTCATCAATAGATATTGTCAGCTATCAAAATTACCTGTGCCTCTGGATGGATAAAATGTGTAACTCCTTATTGTTCTTAAGGAAAGAAAAAAGAAAAGAAGAGAAAAGAAAAGAGAGAGAGAACTCCCCAGGGCTAGCGCAGAGCTTTACTACCTAGTTTAGTTCAGGGATAACAGTTTAACTCTGCCAGCTGAGCCCCAACGTGCTGACCTGTTTGAGAGACAGTGACTCAGAAACGACTTGCAAATGTTGCAAGATGATGAAGAAAACACTAAGTATAGCAGTGACTTTGCAGATCTGACACCTTTCTTGGGGTAGAAATAGCTAGAGAAAGGTTCAGGGACAGATGGAAATTGAACTGGACACCTTGGTTTCCCTTTTGTGGAAATGCCATGGGTACATTCTAGCTCTAGATAACAGGGCATGGCACTCTGGGTCTATCAGAAAACAGACCTATGAAACTCTGACATCATCCATGAAAAGATCATAGGTGTCCCACTGTGGGACTTGGGAATGGGGCATGTGGTCCATGACCAGGTAAGTTTGAGAAAGGCTTCCCTCTCAAAGATTTACAATGCTCATTTACAAATGAAAGATTCCAAAAATTTCTGAATGTAACAAACCTGGTTAACACTCTCAAACCCATCCTTTCCTGAACGATCGGCACAGAATTTCCATCAACATCACGTAGAACAGTGGCATACTAAGGAACGCCTTTTAGAAAACTGTTCAGTGTTGGAAATCAGAGATCTTAAAACAACCAATGAGAAAGGCTGCCAGTTTGGGTTTTCATTTTATTGTGGAGTGTCTGCTTCAACCATTTTAGACAAAGGATAAATGGCTGCCTAGAAAGGGAGGGACCACACTTAGCATTCTTGTATTCCCCTTTTGTTTGTGGGGCATGGAACTGCAGCGTCTGCTTTTACATGTGTTTCAGAGAGCAGAATACAGCCTTTTGTGTTCAGTTATTTATCATTACCCATCAGTGGAACTGTCTGGAAAGGGGCAAAAAAGTAAATAAACAAAGTAAAGTAAATCACCTTGGTTTCAACTAAGGGCTAGCTTTGGAGCAGCCAGTGGTTTCTCACTGTCTTCCATGCCTCATGATTTCTTGAGAATGTTCACATTATTACTGGACTGTGAACTCCTGATACAATTTGGGCATGGAAACCGAGGGCCCAAACAAAGCAATGAAGTCCATGTTAAGATATAAATGCTTTTAATGATGAAGATAATTACAACTGATTGAAGTCTGGAATTCTCTTAATATGCAAAATGAGATACACAGAAGAGGTAAAAATGTCCCTGAATCTCCTTCATACCACATTGCAATGTCCATTATCATCTCTCTAAAGTTCACAGAAATTTTTCACCTTTTTCTCACATTTTCATCCTCTACTGTTACATAAACACCTATCAAATGCTTTCTCTTTTGTCCTTTTCTTCCTTCCTCCCACTGTGGTCCTTTGAAGAAAAAAAAAAAAAAGAGTGAGTGAGCATGGGGTCGGGGGAGACAAACACATTCATTCAGTTATTAAATTATTACAGGCTTCTTAACCGGAATATCTATTTCAAAACTTAAGAATCGAAGGGGGAAGATATCAAAAATTAACCATAGGCTTTGGTAGTGATCTATCAAAAATAAAATGAATGAAAACTAGTTTAACAATTATTAGACTGTTATCCCTTTAGTCTTGACCTTTTGGTACATCGTAAATAAATACCATCCAAATCTGACAGAAATAACTGCAAAATTCCCACAACAGCAATCTGACAGAAATATCATGTTCACTGGTGTCAACAAAGTGGCATTTCTTAGCTGTTTAATAAAATAGGAATTATGAAAAAAAGTAAACGTTGAATTATGCCACAAGAACCTCACCCATATGGCAAGATCCATGAGCTAATCTGCTTGGCGGCAGGTTCAACATTTAGATGAAAATACCTGTATCTGGAAAGATTTTTTAAAAGTGGTTAAGTTTAATTTGGCTTGACACATATTCTTATAGTTAAAATATATTAATATTATATACATACTATGTATTAATGTTGATATTATATATCAATATTTATAGTGATCATTTATCCAATGCCTTTTTCTGTTGTCACTCGCTAGGAAGCAAACAACTCTGGCAAAAGCACGACGAAAACAGAGACTGCCTGGCTCTTCAGAATGTGGTACAGCTTTGACCACAAGTATCCTTTGATAATGATAATCTCCCAGGTCCTGCTACATGGCAGACACTGACTTCGAGCACTTAATCATTGAGGTCTGCACTGCTGCTCTTCAAGAAACGCAGAAAGGTAAAGCGAATTCACGAGCAAATTTAGCCAAAAGAATGATTTCAAAACATAAAAAGCTGTGTAGTCCATACTTAAGTGTTGCAAAGAGCTAAAGTGAAATCTCTCAGAGGCAAATGAATCTGGTGTGCTTGTGGCAATCTACTATTTCCTAATGCCCTATGATAAAATCATAGAGTCCTGAAAAACTGATCTATTTTACTAATTTTACTGTTCATCCCTTTGTAAAAATCTTACTTCTGGTGGAGTCGGCCAGGGTGACAAAGCTCCTTCACCCTTCTGCCAGGAACACATTTGTCTGTTTTTGTTTCATGCTGTAAAAAATGAAGGGGGAGGGGGGAGGGAGGATGAATAGTCCAAGGAGAAGAATAAGTCCGGTCATCACATTGTGAAATAATACTACTTTGTTTTCCAGGAAACACTTGAGTAAGCTTTTTCTAGTGACGGGCAATTTTAAAATTCTAGCAATCAGTGTAAACAGAGTGGCTCAGCTACACCTTGCCATGCGACTCACAGAGCTGAGAAGTCAGGCCTGAAGGGCTTTGCCATTGTGAGTTGCAGTAAGCGGTCCACCTCTAATCCCAGGCAAAAGCGCCACAGAAGAAAGGAAAGAACTGTGCTGAAAATTGAATGTGTTGGGTCTTTGTAGTTAGTTTTCCACAGTCACAAATCCCTCTCCTTTCAGGGAGAAAACGTCAGTCACTGGGCGATTTTAAAGCAGCTCAGCAATGATTAAAGCCACAACAGATCAGAGGGAAAGGAAGAAGAATTAAGAACAGGGGAAAGAAATTCAAAGAATAAGATGAAGAGGAGGTAAAAATGGAAAGGGGAGAAGCAGCAAGAGAAATACAGGAAATTCACAGCAGGAAGGAAAGGAAAGCAAATTCGAGGAATGACTGTAGAAAAAAAAAATAAGAGTGAAGTGAAGAGAAGCCCATTGAAGATTGCAGAGATAAGCAAAAGTAAAACAAGGTTAAAATTAGAAAGCAATTCTGAAATAGTAGAACATTCCAAGAATTATGAAATGAGATGTGGAAGGCAGAGGCTTTTTGAGGCTACAGTTTTGCTTTTCCATACTTCTGTTATCTATGGGCAAATACCTTGCCTCACTCAATCTTGAGCTTTCATGGACAGTGTAGGTTGCCACCACCCTAAAAGTGGTCCATCTTGGCCATTAACTGCCTCTTGGAGGTTCTGGTACCTCACTAACCAGTCACTGGTCTCTCTGAGGGAAGCCAGTTCTTAGCAGGTTACGCTGGTTTGTGTTCCAGTTTGTTTCTCTTCTGGAAACACAATTTTCTCTTGCCATTGCTTAAAGTATCTGATAACCAAATTTGTAGGAAGTTATAAAAATGTGGCTAAAGAGTACATATAAAGGCTGCTTGGTTATGACAAGATGTACAGTAAGAAAGTGTCTTTTGGGGTTCCAGGACCCGATTTCCAACTTGTGGAAGGGGGGCTTCCCCACCCATCCAAGCAATGCGCCAGGTCAGTGTCCTACAACTCAATTCAATTCTGACACTATGTCCCTGGAGACAGTGTCAGATCTCACAGGTAAGGGCTCAGTCCCGCAAGGCTGCCCCTACCACCACCACTTCAGAAGCCAGCCACATTCCCAGGTTGTTACCTATGCTTCTGATCTATCGGCTACATGTTGGGGGTTCCCGTGACCTTCTCCTTGGGTTTGATTGATTTGCTAGAAGACCTCATTACTTACTAGATCATTGGTTTATTATAAAAGGATATAACTCAGGAACAGCCAGATGGAGGAGGTGCATAGGGCAAGGTACGGGGAAAGGACATGGAGCTTCCATGCCCTCTCTGAGTGCACCACTCTCCTCGAATCTCCACCTGTTCACCAACCTGGAAATTCTCCTAAACTCCATCCTTTTGGGGTTTTATGGAGGCTTCATTGCATAGGCACAACTGATGAATAATTAACCATTGGTGATTGAACTCCATCTCCAGCCTCTCTCCTCTTCCCCAGAGGTGGTGAGGTGAGAACTGAAAGTTCCAACCCTCTAATCACATGGTGGGTTCTCCTGGCATCCAGCACCCAACCTTAGTTGGGGTCCAAATGTCATCCATTAACATAACAGAAGGATGCCTTTTTGCTTTCATCACTTAGGAAATTCAAGGGTTTTAAGAGCTCTCTGCCAAAACTGGGGATGAAGACCAAATTTCTATTTCTTATTATAAATCACAATATCACAAAATGGCAAATCAGAAATTAGATAAAAGATGTTTTTGTTCAAATTCTGACAGTGTTGTAAGGAATGCTTTGCATTGCATTGCAAAATGGAAAAGATAACTTGGAGACAAGAAAATGGAAGTAGGAACCCACCCAAATTTTTAGCTTAGAGCAGTGACACTAAATTCAGATGATGTCATAGTTTTTGTCTCACATTTCACCGGGGGGGTTATTTCCATATGATTATGGACAAACTAGCAAAAAATGAAAGCAGACTTACACTCTCAGTAATATCTCTTCTCATGGTAATTTGTCCTCCTGTGCATTCATCCTAGAAATTGCGGGGCTACCATCACTGCATAAATATATTTTCACTTAGACCACAGAGTTTTTATATCCTAGTTATGCTCTGAATTCATACCCAGAGTGTAGCAAACCAACCAGTTTCCACTCTGTAAACTCTTGATTTATCCATATTTTTAGAGAAAAATTATCCCCTTGGCATTTACCGTCATCCTGTTGGCCACCTAGAACCCAGGCGATGTGCCCCATGGACCTCATGGGTAGACTATGCCAGCTGCTGTCAATGTAGGGATGATCCCCCCAACTCCGGGGTCAGATTGCCTGGCTGAGGCCAAAAAGAAAGTGTGAGGCTGAAAGAAATGGATTACGCAGTTTGGAGCTGTTCAAGTTTCATTTTAGTAAAATTGCATCATGCAAATGAGGCATCATAAAGAATTACCGACAAAAGAAAAAGAAGAATAAATGAGCCTTCATATGCACCTTTGTAAGTCAGGATTCTCCAGAGAAATGGACACAGAACCAGTCAGGAGTACACACACACACACATGCATACATACATATACATATAATACACATACACATAGGTTTACTTCATGGGATTGGCTTATGTGTTTGTGAAGGTGGCAAGTTCAGAATGTGCCGGGCAGGCTCTCAGTCTAGAAACTCTACAGTAGGAGCTGAGATGCTGCAATCTTAAGACAAAACTTCTTCTTCCTCAGGGAAGCCTCAGTTTTGCCCTTAAGTCCACTCAACTGATCAGATGAGGCCCACCCACCTTATTGAGGATCATCTCTTTAAAGTCAACTGACTGTAGATGCTAACCACACCTAGAAAATACCTTCACAGCAACACCTAGATTGGGGTCTGATTGAATAACGAGGTAGCCTAGTCAAGTAAACATGTAAAACTAAGTGTCACGGTGCTCAATTCACATTGAACTTATGCCCAATATTCAGACCCAAGGATACAAAGATGCTCTTAACTCACCATCGGTATCAATAAAACAAGTCACTATGGCTCATATAGTCTTGTTTTCTTTTTTTCATAGCATAATTAACACATATGCATTCCCATAAAAATTTCCCAAAACGTACAGAAAAATTAAAATAATAAAAATTAACATTCCATAAGGATGAACCATGGCCAAGTACTGTGTTGAGTGCTTTACGTTATAATTTCATGTCACCTCCACAGCTCTGTAAAAGGGTGGCTCCAAGGGTAGAGTACCACACAAATGGACGGCTGATTGTCTTGGCCTCTGATAAAACAGCCTGTGCGGGCTTCCCTGGTGGCGCAGTGGTTAAGAATCCGCCTGCCAAGGCAGGGGACATGGGCTCGAGCCTTGGTCTGGGAAAATCCCACATGCCGCAGAGCAACTAAGCCCGTGCGCCACAACTACTGAGCCTGCGCTCTAGAGCCCGTGCTCAGCAACAAGAGAAGCCACTGCAATGAGAAGCCCACGCACCGCAACAAGTACAAATAAATAAGCCGGAAGCCTATGGTGCCAAAATTGACGATTAGTTAAGATTTCGCTATGATTCCCTGTGGGCAGCAATTCTGAGTCTTGCGGTGCAAAGCAGAAATTGAGAAGGGGGCTATGAGAAAGGGAACCATGTTACTGAGCACCAGTGCTTTGCCATCGAGAACATTCTTTCATTTAATCCTAATAACCACCCTTTTGGTTTCATTCTCACAAAGACTCTCTTTGAGATGGAAGAAACAAAGTCTCCAAGAACTTAAATAACTTTCTTAGGTTTCCATAGCTAGTGTCAATTCCATGATCCAAGCCTGGATCTGTCAAAATCTAAATTAGGGACTTACCTGGCAGTCCAGCGGTTAGGACCCTGCGCTCCCACTGCAGGGGGCTTGGATTCGATCCCTGGTCAGGGAACTAAGATCCCACATGCTACACGATGCGGCCAAAAAATAAATAAATACATAGACTTCGAAACACTTGAAAACAAAGACTGTAATGACAAAGAAAGGCATTACATAACGATAAAATCCATAAATATCCTTAAATGAACGCTCTCACTGACAACTCTATGTCCATGATAGCTCTTATCTACACATATACCCCATTTCCATACGTCCAGAATGTCACTATTAAAACAATGACTGTTATGACTGCTTACATTATGTCATACAGAGTTCACATCCCAAGCAGTTGTTGAAGATATAGGAGGTGATAAGTTTAGGGGTCCTGGTCGGTCACCCTAAGAACGCCACCATAAAGGAGTCTCCAAGTTTCTGAATCACGTTCTCAACTTTTCAAAGGCAGAAAGTTCAATATGCCAAAGACTCCGAGAATGGTTTCGTTTCATAGAAACGGATGGACTCTAGCCAAGCTCAAGGAGGCACAAGTAGAAACCAGACATCAAATTCCTAAATCATCATATGT